TAAAACAGATGCTCTTCTTGTGCTGATCATGTAGTTACTGCCATCTTTAGGTACTGAAAAAAATAGTAATAGAATGGTTCTTACAGGTCTTTTCCACTTTTTAAAGTTATTATTCTATAAAGTTCATAACACTGTGCAACATGAGAGCAAAGGTTAAGTAGGGACTAGCTCACTGTAGAACAAAGCCATATGTCACATATTGTTGGAGAGCTAAAACTGCAGTGCCTCTGACTGAATAGAAATATCACCTATGCAAAAATATTCATTTCTGCTTCAGCATATGGTACTAAGTCATGCTCTATTTGTTATAATTACCATTCATATAGCAACACTAATGTGCATGGTACTTTGCATATATAGAGCTATAATGTCTACAGATACAGACAATCCCTATACCTGAAGAAGGGTGTTTGTGCCCAAAAGCTTGCAAAGAACAATTATTCCAACTATTTAGTTGGTTTAATAAAAGATATCACATCTACCTACAGACCCTGGTCTGCCTACAGGTAACTTAAGCACACTTAAAAAACAAATAATAGCAGCCAGTAAGATTCACATATCCTTGGGTGATATATAGGGTATTTTATCCCAAAGAGTGATGAAGAAAGTTTTCAAGAATTTTTTAAAAAGAAATAATAAACTAATAACAGAAATGACTCCTGGCCTGATCTACTAGGGGTAGATTATGGCAACCCCTTTGGGGAAAAGCACTTTTTGAGGCAAAAATTAAAAACAATATGGCGATTACTTCTCTAAAATCCATCTAAATGATGTCCACGAACGTGCTTCTCGCTCTAATTATTTTTAATCTAAAACTCCATTGTCAAGTTGTTTTTTAAAAACAGCAACCAGATTTTTTATAGAACCTACTAAACAGAGTTTGCTATGCCCTCTGCTGGCTCTGCAGCCTCATTGCATGCAGGACCACTGAAGAACTGAACAAACTGAAAAATAGGCCTTTGCTAGACCTGCAAAGTGAAGTTCTGTGGTTTCAGCCCTCAAGAATGTTTTTCAGTTTGAGTTAACATGAGTTTGCACAAACTGAGCTTTGCTCTAAAATTTTGTCCAATTTCAATGCATTACCAGCCAAAATTCTGTCCTCAGATATGTAATAAGGTTAGAAATTCAAAGCCAAGATGACCTAGGAAATGTATGAAAGGTGTTTTGATGTAGCATCCTTTATTAAATCAACTATATATTTAGAAGAGGTGTGGGCAAGCTTGGCACATGGGCTTTCTGAGCATCCCTTGTGAGATTCTACATATGTAATTGAAAATAGAATTTATACCATGTTGAGTCCCTTACATTTCATAAATACATATTTTTGAATTTGATTACAGAAAGCATTGAAAAGCCCAGTGTCTATCAAACATGTTCAGTCATTAATCCATATCTGTGTGTGTGATATCTCAAAATATCTATGTATTTTGAGGTCAGATACTGTAGGCCTCACTTAAGATTTACAGGGGCAAAACATTAATTAAACTCAGTACATCAAATCCTGAAGTCTCTTCACCATTTGTGTTTGGTAATTAGTTAGATAAACCAGTCCTGGAAATAATGGAAATGTTGCCTAAAAAGTAGAAGCTACATAAGGAAAGGACTGCCCATAATTAAATACATTTTTATTGCTGTTCTGTGTTAGCATCAATTTATTCATTTCTTTTCTTCATCCATGTGATTTATTCTTACTGATATTCTACTGCAGGATATATAGTCCTATTTTCTCCTGATATGACACAATTAAGCATGCAGTGGTAAACATTAAGAATAGAAACTTTAAATTAGCCTTATTTGTTGGTTCCAATTCTTGAAAGTTCAGTTTAGGATAGGGGTGGGCAAAATGCAGCCCATGGGGCAGATGTGGCCCATCAGGCCATTCTATCTGGCTCACGGGGCCCCTAAAAAATTTAGAAAATTAATATTTATCTGCTCCTGGCTGCCTGTAATGTGGCCCTTGATGGCTTGCCAAAACTCAGTAAGTGGCCTCCACCTGAAATAATTGCCTGCCCCTGGTTTAGGATGAAGACTAGCTACCATAAAATACAGCTTTGAATTTTTTTTCTTTGCTGAACTACATTCTTTTGGATAGAATCTGCCACCACCAGAGGTGGATCCAGGATTTTGGTAAGGGGGTGCAGAAACAGCAACCAGTGTTGGAGGTGTGGCTTCAACCTCCAGCCAAGGCAGGCGGACTACCTCATGGGATTTAAGTCCCCCAATCTAGTAAGAATCTTCCCTCCCCTTTCTGTCTCCTCCCTTGCACTCCATACTCAGCAGCACTTCCCTTCTCCTCTCACTCTCCCCTCTCCACATTCCCTGACTAAATTGGGAGAGGTTCCAGACCTGCTTCTGTCTCAGTCCAATCAGGCTGCATGGACAGCATGGCTCAGACAAGGACAACAGTAATGGGCGGGTTCTCCTTCTCTGAGCCTACTCCCAGCCTGAAAAGCAGCACCCAGAGGACTGGGCAGGAAGGAGAAATCTGCCCATTGCTACCGTACCAAGCTGAGTCTGGTTACCCACAGAGCTTGACTGGAGCAGGGCAGGAGTGGTTCTGGAGCCTCCCCAGCCCCAAACCAGCCAGGGACAGCAGCAGCTGTGGACTGCAGGGCAGAGGGGCCCTGAGCACAGAAGGGATGAGAAGAATTCTTACTTGGTTCGGAAATGTAAAAAAGTCCCAGACTGCTACTCCCACAATGTCAACTGAAAAAGGAGTGAATCTGTGCTACTGCAGCCCCTCTGGATCTGCCACTGGCCAGCACAAACATAAAGGTGTGTTTAACATTTCACAATAAGAGCCATACCTCAGGTAGCCATAGTGGGTATCATTGCATACTGTGACAGAGCCCTTATTTAGTATTTCCACCAACATATTTCTTTATGTACTTCTCATCTTAAGTGTTGGATTTCATCAGTATAATAAGATCCTCCACCCATTTGTCCAGCAAATTAAAGAAAACAAATGTCTCCCCATCCACCAGGACCTCAACAACACACCTCACCATTGCCTAAAGTTGTGCAAGCTCTTCTGGATCCATGTGCCTAAACTTCAACAATAAGACTTCAATGCTGATGAAGCTTGGAAAACCAAATGGAGTTCACAGGAAGATCCAAATAAACATCTTGTGATAGATTCAACGCAGAATGTTCCCAGCTTTAATCTCCCTTGCCACTTATGGGCAACTCTAAACCATATCTGTACAAAACACAGGAGATGTGGATACTCAATGCACAAATGGAAAATTAGAAACTCTCCCTTGTGCAAGCGTGCTCACTCGGAACAGACCATGGAACATATAACGACTCAATGTCTGATGCACAAATATGAAGGAGGCATCACAGCGATACACTCTGCTGCTCCTGATGCAACTTTCTGCCTCAGCCACCTAAATGTAAAATGATAGTAGCTGTTTTATATCTACATCAGCCATACAAAAGAAGATGAAGAAGACGTATAATCAATATTATGAGTGAAATCTTCAGCCTCACTTCAGCCCTTCACAGTATAAAAATATTGGTGTAGCAAGACATGGATTCCCCCAGCGCAGGCACAGCAGAAGGCTGCCTCTGAAGGACCTTTTCACAAGCCTGGGTCTTAAAAGTGCACTGGTCATGCAGCACTACAGTCACACCTAACAGCTCTGCATACAGCTCTGATTTGGGACACTGTAATTTGGGCAGGCCTTCAGAGCCTACCTTACAGCAGCAGCCTCTTTAACCCTGCAACTATCTATGAGTACTGGGCACAATGGTGGTTTAATGCAACGTTTCCCAACCAGTGTGGTGCAGCACAAAAGTGCGCCATCGAAAATGAACAGATGTGCCATGAAATTTTGCCATGGCAATGAGCTAGGTATGAGGATGGGGAATGACTTAATGGGTGTGCCATGGAAAATGTTTATTAATGTAAATGTGCCTTGGGCTGGAAAAGGTTGGGAAACACTGGCTTAAGGCACAACAGCACACTGCAGCCCTCCACAGCATGTCCCACTGTAGTTTTTCCATTCTAATCATTGCTGATCTGAGGCACAGGGTGGTTTTCTACATGACAGGGCCACATTGCATGGAGTAAACCTGAAGGCTTCCATCAACAATTAGGACTGCTGCTCAAACACCTCCCAATCAGGAATAACAGGGAAAACAAATAGTCATAAATGGTTGTAGCTATGCCCATAGCTGATGATTTTAGAAAACGGAGAGAGGTAGTTAGCCTTGTTAGTCTGCAGTCCAGCAGACAGCAGGGTACACAGGCACCTTTAAAGACTAGCTATATAAAATATAGAGACAGCACATGCTTTCCTGAACCCACGTTCCCTTCTCATAAAAGTGCTTGAAACCAGGCTCATCTACATGGTCATTTAGATACTGCACATTTAGTTTAGCACTTGCTTAATAAAGTACTAGTAGCCCATGGTTATTTTGTGATGTTTCCTGCATGTGAGCCTAATAACCCTGCACAGTAGGCTATTAGCATGGTTTTTAACCACCACACTACTGCACAGTGTTATTAGGCTGAGGTGTGGTAAGCACCTCCTATAGACACACCCACTAAAGAGGCACAGTTGGAGACTAACTAGGTACAGTGTTACTCAAATCTAAGACAACCCTCCATTTAAGACGACTTCCCCCAATTCTACGGTTTTACACATGGAAAAATATATAAACTTGTTGTTTTTCCATGCATCGCACGTAGCTATGGGAGGGCCTCTATCCTTCACCCCTCCCACCGCTGCCCAAGTAAGCGCTGTGCGGAGGCCCAGCACACTTTCCCTCCGCCCCGCCAGCTTCAGCCCCCATTCCAGCTGGGGCTGCACGCGCAGCTCCCCCAAGAGGGAGCCCACACGCGACTGGTGACGTTAGCGCGGCTCTGGCTTCACCCCCTGGAACGGAAACGACGCTCTAGCCATGCTGGCGGTTCCGCTCTCTCTATGCTCTGCCAGCGGGCCGCGGCCGGGACGAGGACCAAGGTTTAATGGCGGCTTCAAGCACGGCGGCTGTCGTTGGGGGGACGCGCGAGTCCGGTTCAGGGGCCGCGGGGCAGGGGCGGAAGAAAGCCTACGGCAAGGTACGGTGCGGGCTGGGAGTGGGAGTAGGGGAGGGGCGACGGTTGGGAGCCCCCTCCCCCCTCGGGGGCTCACTGCGTCCCCGGCGACGTCAAGGCGCAGGCGGGGCGGGGGGGAGCAAGTGGGGTCACGTGTCGCCTGCTCGCCCGCTGTCGCTTGTGCCTGCCCCGCTGAGCTGCTGCTTCGTCCCCTGCCGCCGCCTGTCCCTCTTCAGCAGCTGCGTGCTCGCCCCCACCCCCGTAACGCTCCCTCAAGCCTCCAGCCTTGCCTCTCACCAGCGCTTCACCGAGCACCCGCGTGGGCCCGCGCCTCGCTCTGTTCATGCTTCTCAGGGCCGACTAGGAGCTGCTGCACCTGCGAATGCAAATCTTAAAAAGAAAAGTAAAAATAAAAAAGAGGAGCCCACATCTACTCTGCTCTGGGAAATCCTGCGGTCCACTCCGTTTAAGCTGAAAGCTGCTCTAAGAGGAAAAAAAAAAGAACCGTGTCTATTTCTTCCCTCTCCAGCTTGAAAAGCTGTCTGCTTCTGCGTTTGTGCTAAGGACGCGCCTATAAATCAGTCGAGCAAGGACTGTAACATGCCTCCTGTAAACGTGTGATTGTGGAAGGGTGCAGCGAAGGTGCTTTCTCAAAACATGAGCGCAGCTGGTGCTGCAGGTGTTGCCCTTGTCCACCAGTACGGATGCCCGCCAAGGACAGCAGTTGACAAGCTGATCATTTCTCGAAGTAAACTTGGCTTAGGGGACTAGCAAGTGATTTTAATCATTTATTGCGAGTGCACCTTCCAAGCATACAAACCTGCAAACTTGAAAAGTTGTTTAAATTATGTTAGTTCCGTGTTTTGCCCAGCTCACACGTGCTATATGGGGAGTAAGAGTTATTCAGAAATATTTCACTTATTTGGAAAGGATACAAACAAAAGCACCCCTGGTATGAAGCCTGCACTGTTATCTTAGCCACATATTGCTTGTTATATCAAGGCCCAAGTAATTTTTGTGAATGTCAAAGATACTGCATAAGTATTGGACATTTGCATAAAGATTTGATTAAGTGTGTGGTATTTATCCATCTCTTCTTTAAATGTAATTTGTAATATAAAATCTCCAAAGGAATTTGGAAAAGAAGTTCCCCTAGGGGTAAAAAAAAAAAAAAAAAAAAAAGTAATAATAAAGCAGCTCAAACAGTTATTAGAAAGTTTAAAATACTCAAGAAAATAATTAGTGTAGCATACACTATCAAGGAATGAAGACCAAAAGGGTGGACACAGTTTCCTAGGAGCGAAGCCTACTATAGCTCCATAACAGTAAAAATATTAGACAAAAAAGAACAGTTTGTGTATCCTTTGTAAATCTCTTCTAGAAACAACCGAGAGTTTGCGGTCACTTTAAAGCAGTGCCACCGTCAGCATGAATGTCATTTGCTTTCACTCAAAATCTAAAATTCTTATCGTTAACATATAATGGAGGCAACATTATCTAGTTTACTTCAGACATTTAACAGTTATTTCTCTGCATGTAGACTGTTTCTTCCAGTGTAGTCAATAAATCCTGCCTGGGAGCCAGATGGGAAGGAGGCTAGGGAAGGAGCAGGCTCTCCTGCTTGCCTTATGTTTATCAGGTAACCCTAATTCAAAATTCTTTAATGATGAGAATTTAAAACCTAATGCAGGTGGGAACATCCATTTCTGCTGCTTCCCTTTCTAGTCTGCATGAGGCAGTTGTACCTGGTGACAGCAACTTGGAGAAAAACGCAGAAAACACATGGATAAATCTCCAGGCTGCCAGACCAATGCTAGCTTGGGCTTACCCATGTGCTTCAGTTTCTGGGAGGAGCATGGATGGTCGTGTCAGGAAGGACTGCAGCAGAAGTGGGCATTCCTGCCTGTATTAAGTCCACCAGATAACTCTAACGCAGGCAGGAGCTCATGCACCTACCACAGCCACTTTATGATCTGGGCAGTTCCACCTGGCCATGGCTGCAGCTGCTGTTGCAAAACCCCTGGTTGAGAACCACTGAAGTAAACGTAGGCTGTGCAACAGTGGTTCTCAACCAGAGTGGTACCATGTTCAGAAAAGTTATAGAGGGGGTGTCCTGAATGCAGAAAGGCTGAGAACCACTACTATATGTTGCAGCATTCACTGTTTCCACGCTATCCAAAACTATTCCTGGGGATCCTGCATATCTCATGGAATTTAAATAAATAAATAAGGAGTTAGGAATAATAGAATAGAGTAATAAACAATAGTAAAAGCTGTTGATCTGTAAGATAAATCTGTCTTGAAACTAGTAGGGAATTGTGCACAGAACTGGCTAGAAGCTTTGCACTGGAAACGGCTTTCATGCTCGCTAAAAATGGTGCCCCCACAAATAATTTGATTTTGGAAACATCTGTCATGCAAGAGACCACTAAGCTATTGTGTATATAGAAAGACATAATTATGACAGCCACGCGTATTCATAATTACATTCTGATTATGAAACTAAATTTCAAATACACTTATTTTTTTGGGAAAACTCTAAAGCATTACAATCAAGGGGATTTCTGCTGCAAAAGCTCCAAACAACAGCTTTTCACAGCCTTTTGTTTAAAAAAAAAAGGAACCTATTAACTTATCTGTTTCATATCAGCAAATCATTGAGTCTCAGACAGTTGGTGTCATTTTCCTCTATATTGGTCTAGATGTTTCATGAAATATTCAGTTTTCCTGTTCCTGAAAGATTACAATTTTGGGGTGGTTATCTTTTTGTCTGATGTGACAGCCCCAATAGTTCTAGAGTTCCTTTTTCTAGGGTACAAGTGGCCAATACTTCAATAAGTATTAAATTGATAGTACTGTCTATGGTGTTTTAGCACAAATATGTACAATTATTAATTTTTCTGATCCTTTTATATAAGCAAAATTGTGTGTAGTTGAATTTTATAACTAAGTTGGGTTTATATTCATCTTAGTTTAAGGTTGCTCATGAGTGTTTGTTTAAAAAGCAAATTAACGCTTATATGAAAGCTTCTTAACCCTTTGCCTTCAAGCAAATGCAATTGTGTTGTGCTAGAAGTACCCCAACTCTTGTAGCAGATGTTTTGATGCTTTCACGCTCGTGTTGGGTTTGCAGCTAGTTTCAAGTGGATATTGTGTCAGACAACCATGTATATAAGTGTACTTTTTGAGATCTGTACTCTTGTGAAGGTCTTACATACTTAAGAATCAGTCTTTAACTTGGCTTGAATATAAAACTGCCTCTGAAGAAAGTATAAAATAGTTAATTCTTGAATAAAATAAAATGTAATTTCAGCCTTATAACGCTTAATAAGAGGAAGTAGTACACTAGGGCTCCTTATGAAATTAATTTTAGGGTTTTTAATATTTGAGCCTAGTCTGTAAAGCTTGCAGATAAAGGTTTGCAGCATAAATCTGATTGACTTTAATGCTTTCTCCAGGGTGATCCTCATAGAAACTACTAAAGACTACAAAGAATTGATTCTAGGCAAAATAACAGTGAAATAGATTGTACTGATCAAGTAAGATGGATCCATGTTCAGTTGGAATTCAACTTCAAGTTGCCAATGAGTGTCATAAGACCTACTATACCCGTTACATTGGCTTCAAGACTAAACAAGAAATATCATCATCAGATCTGATGTTACTTCAGCTTAGGACTGGAATGGCTCTTTCTGAGAACAATACAATCTGCTTCCATCATGCCACAATTTACATTGACAGATTTGAAGACATGCAAAGATCATGTTGTGACCCATTTAATGAGCACAGAAAATTATCAAAGAAAAATTTACGTGCAATTGATTTACATGATGCAGCTTTTCTAAGTGCCAAGTTTGGAAGACAGTTTGTGCCTGGCTGGAAGCTTTGTCCAAAATGTATGCAGATAATCTATGGACGTGTGGAAGTTGATTCTGAAGATCGCCAAAGAAGGAAACTTGATTCAGACGTATGTATATGGATCATTTTTCACCCCTCTAATTCCCCACATTAATGGGGTGGGGCTGGCTTCATTTGAGTCCTACATAAAGAACATTCTTAGGTCTTTTCCTGAAAATCTGAAAGCATTTAGTCGTTTAAGTCTCTAGTAACTCATATTGTTTGTATGCCTTTTGTTGGAAGCTCTGTGTCCTTTTAAAAGAAAATGACAAATTTTTTAACTCACTTATCTTTAAAATTCTACAAGAGCCCTTGTGAAAGAAGATGTCGTGAATTTTTTTGCTTTTTATGGACGTGTGTAGGATTTTTCTCGGGTTGCTAATTAGCATTATGCAGTCTATGAAAAAGGTTGTGTATACATTAACGTGTATGAAACTAATAAAAGCCATAGACTCTTTCTCAGAAAAAATAGCTTTGTAATTTAGAAACACTTGCCCATCCAGCCCAGGAAACAAACTGTATTTTTGCTAACACATTAAAGCCTGATGAGGACAGTACAGGAGTTTAGAATCCATTCCAGTTATTCAAGTAAGATTTGTATTTTTGTTTATTCATTTAACTTGCACCATTAAGTGGCACAATTACTTGTAACACTCTTCTTTTAAGATTCATCTTGTTCCCCGCTGGGAAATGCAGCGCTCATGCACAAATTGACTTCAACAATTTACCTAAGGCTTGACGGTTAATTTTCCTATGGAATTGGTTTAGTATTAATATTTAAAATGAGAATTTCTATCTTTGTTCAGGGACGAACAGCTAAAGCTTTGAAGTCCTTGCAGTTTGCTAATCCAGGTCGACAGACTGAGTTTACTCCAGAAACCAGTAAAAGAGAGAAGAGAAGGCTACAAACAAAAAGTGTATCAACTACTTCTGACAGGTGAGCTGTTTCCTATATTAACTCAAGTATAATTTCCTTTCACGCGTCTCACGAGGAGGGGGAAACGTCTCTGTTTTATGAACTCCATTTCAGATTTCTCCATAATTTGGGATGCTTGTTTCCATCTTTTTAAAGGTTGGAGTTAGGACTAGGATAGATTGTCCTTATATAGCCAAGCCTCGTAATAATATTTTAATGCAATATTTTGTTTAATCAGTTGCCTTTGTGTTAGAATAACCAAAGGTAATGTAAGCTTTAGAAAAGAGAGATGTTCAGGGACACTAGTCACCATGCTAAATATAATAGTTCTTGTTGCACTTTTGAAGTGCAAAAGCCCCCTAAATCAGAGTATTTTTGTTTTAAAGGCAAGCTAAACAAATTTAGGATTGTATGTAAATAAACTTTGTTAGAAAAGAATAATGCCACATCAAATCTGGCAGGACTCCAGAATTGAACTACAGCTTCTGTATCTGATATGATTTCCCCCCCTGTTTTTTAGTAATCCGTTCCTTGGATTGAATAGAATTAGGAGGTGGGGGGTAAGCAATGAGTAAAATGTAAACTGAGTTACAGTTAACTGAATATGGGATTGTGGTAAGGATATGACAAGTGAGAACATTCCTGTGAACTATCTGTGTTAAAGGGCTAAAAAAAAAAAGTAAGGCACTAGTTTTTATGAAGGTAGAAAACAAGCAGTATAATAGGTACAGATTTTTAAAATGGCGTGGTGCTAAACAAGAAAACTGATGAACTGCTTGAAACCAAAATTCACAAAAGAAATTAGTTTGATCTCTTCTCTTATTTCCAGCAATTCATAATAACTGTTTTTTATTATACAGGCAAATTATACCAGCAAAGAGTAAAGTCTATGATAGCCAGGGACTTCTGATTGTCAGTGGAATGGACCTCTGTGACTGTCTTGATGAAGATTGCCTGGGATGTTTCTATGCTTGTCCCAAGTGTAGTTCCAATAAATGTGGAGCTGAATGCCGCTGTGACCGCAAGTGGTTATATGAACAAATTGAAATAGAAGGAGGAGAAATTATTCGCAATAAACACGCTGGTTAATGTACAAATATGTATATAAATTGGTGTATTGCATCTAAATACAGAACTTAGCCTGATGAAAATGAGTGGAAACCATCATTACACACATACATTGAGTGTTTACAATTCCGTATCAATGTTGATCTGATTTTTAGAAAGGCGCTATATCATGTTGGTGTATTGTCACACTTCATACCACCTTATAGTCAACTTATACAAATCAGCAACATGACTGAAATGTTGCAGTGCATTACTAGTTAATGAGATATTGTATCAAAGTGCAAGGGGAAAATGCTAAAAGAAGTCTGGAATTAGCTGCTTCATATTCCCTCTCTGTAGAGAATACAACTTTCATGCATCTCTTGATCATTCTCTACCTTTAAAATCTCAGTATTTCTGCTTATATTTATTGTGTCTTTAAATTAAACTACTACACATTTTAAATTTAATTCATTGGCAGTCATGTCCAGTATTATGTGTTGCATAATCGTAAACACTCTGTCTTCTAAAGTGAGATATGGAACTGCCTTCCATCAAACTTAAAAAAGATAAACAGCATGTCCAATGCACTGGAAATATTGAGCCGTGTATTTTGGGGGATATCAGTCCAGTAAAAGAATGTGGCATCCTGTTTTATTATTCAGGCAACTGCTTTTAGCTGAATTTTGTGTAGCATTATTGAAATTAATTGGGATTAAAGATAGTGTTTTGTATGCAAAAGTTGGATGTAGTTAGTCCATATTAGACTGATGACTATTTCAGTTTGTTTACTTAGCAGCTGAAAATCATCCAAATGTCTTCCTTCCATTAATATCCAGACTAAATATAGACAGTCAGATTTGAATGTTATTCCTTTGATTGAAATTGTATCCCTGACTTGACACCAAATTAATATTTTACACCCATGTCAGAAAAAATCATGGAAAGTAGATTTTTAATGCAGAAGTTCTAACAAATTTTTAAAGAGTAGCATTTGTACTGTTAAGCAATCTCAACCTTTTGGATGATATAAACAAATATTACTGAGAGTTTTGGCATGTCAAATTTATATTTATGGAATTATTCACATCAGTGGTGCTCAAGGAGATAGTTGCCTTCTTGATCAAATTTACTAATAGCAGATTTCATCATTCTGCTATTTTATTATTTAGTACATCATTTTCATTTCAGTAGATTTGCAGCTATAGAACTAATTCTTAAATTGTGCGTAGCTGGATATGAAATTATTTTTACTAACCTTATCTCTTTAACTTACACTGACATCTGCTGGTAAATACTGAGGAAATACTAAGCAGCAATTCAAATTCAGTGCATTTTTTAATCTGTTCACTTACTGGGATAGCCTCTTTATTAGATTTTGCGTTCACTGACTAGTAACTATAATTTTCTTATGTAGTATGTAAAATATATATGTTAGTAGTTTAAGTTTTTGTAACTTCTGTGTAGCATCACAACATTAAAGCACAGTCTCATCAACTTGGTGAAATATACTTAACCTTTCAATTTCCTACTTCAGTAGGAAAGTTGTCAAGTTACTAAGTAAATTAAGGGTAAAACTGTCTTAAGCCCTGTCCAATCAAAATAGAACTGTTTTTAAATTAACAGTTTTCCAAAAACACTGGATATTTTAGTGGTTTTTGCCAAGTTGCTTTAGCTAGAAGTGTTTTTTTTTTTAAAGCTTGATTTTATTGTATAATATAATATTCCTCAGAACTCTGTTCAGATATCCAATTCACTCTTCCTTCTACCAGATGGTCCCAAAGGATTTTATTTCTCTGTTCAGTTTCATCCCTCTCCTAATTAAAGTGTAAAGGTTATAATATCTGCTCTTTAAAGGGGCTCTGCTCCTGTAGCTTTCTCCTGCTTCATAAATCAAAAAAAGTGGCTTATGGCATAGCTGTGGCTTATGGCATAGTTTTTAGAACAAAGATGATATTAAGTGCTTAAAATATAATCATGACTTAAAGTATAAGCTTTAGTTACTGATTTGGTTGTTTTCAGAAGATTTGCTATGGATAGTGAGTTTTAACTTCTCAGAGCCTCACTATTCACCCCAACATGAGCATGTAAAGATTGATTTGCAGAGATTAAGGGGCTTTTGATGCATAGGTTTGGTACACAGTGGCAAGGAAGTGAAGGTGTTTCATTATTGCTCAAGTGAATTTGAGCCTAGCTGCCTGTTACTGGCTGGCTTTAAATATGAATCTGCTTATTTGCCTGGAGAGTTAACAGCTGGACACAATGTTAGCAACATGACTTCCTCATGTTATCTTAGTTCTAAAAATTGGTATTCACATCCCATTTGAACTTGCATACCTTGTAAAATGCAGTTGCTTTATCCTGAATACATCACCTCCAGGGGAGGGAGGAGTGCAGTGGCAGGGTAGTTAATAAGTTCAAGCTCTGTTTTGGACTTCCACCAAAGGCTGCCTCCAGTTGACTCTACTGTAAGTGAGTATCTTGTTGTTCAACTTGAGGAGTCAAGGCAGCCAGATGTAATGCTAGCCACATCTTTCTTCTGTGTTGTAGGCTATAGAAAGTGTTATGTGTTAGGCATACTAATCCAATAGGTTCTTAGGCTCAGGAGAATCTTTGACTTGACTTAGGCCTTGGCATCATTGCTGCTTCCCAGTCATCTTTTATAAAACTAGTGGTTAGGATATTTGCAAAGTGGTAGAGCTAGATATCCTCTTTCACAACTGGACGAAACAACCCCACCTCCCAGAAGAGCCTATATGCTAAACTCTAGGATTTGGATTCCACTGATACAAGGCACCTAAAATGTAGGTATTGAAGTGATCAAGATCCTGCCTCAAGTTGCTCTGGTGCCTAAAGGACACTGAAAATCTTTCAGCAAGAGTGGCACAATTATTGTATGTGCTATCTGTATTTTTAATGCTTTTTGTAGCACCAGTTCTTATAGACTGGAAAGGGTATTAAATACTTCTAAGTAAATTTAATATGTTGTTTTGTCTCATCAGATCTATTGTGAAGACAGAAATACTGTTAAATATCTAAATATCATGTCAAGCAATCACTGGACATGAAACAAAACTAAAGGTATATGCAATTGAAACAGATCTCCTCCCTGCTTCCCTTCATTCTTCATGTGTGTACCCATGTTCCTTCCCTTTCCATTGAGCATTCAGATAATATTATAGTAAAGAACTGACAGGTGAACTTGTTACCTGTCATATGTTCCCTTTTCATTCCCAAGGTTCCCTAACATCTATGCTTTATTGTTGAAAAATACATCAGAAATTGATGAAAGCAAGATTTGTAGAAATGGTCCTTTTTATTAAAAAATGCTCATTATATGTTTCTTAAATCCATAATGGTTTTGCAATCATTGCAATCTTGGTCAAACAATGCACCCCACATTGGGCCCTGAGCAGGTTGAAAGCTTTGCCTTCTATAAACTTAAAAGATATATAATGTTTTTCTCCCCAACAGCAGAAATGGTAATTAAAAGATTATTTCTTCCCATTCTCAGTTGAAACTAACTACATGTTAAGTAGTAGTCCATAAGGGAACTTTGCACTGCTTGAAAAGGGGTGAGGGAGTTCCAGTTTAGGAGATTGCAGCAGTTTTTATGAAGTATCTGTTACGTTTGCATGCTTCTGTATCAAACCAAGTGTAGCAAAACTGCTGAAACTTAAATCTTGAATGGAAACAGGGTTAAAGTTACAGTAATTTAGCTCACTTATTCCACTGCAAGATCCCCTACCCTTATAACTCAAGCATGTTATAAGCGAGCTAAGTCACTGTAAATTTAACCCAAATGAAACAAGATTAAAGATTTTTTTTTGCTACATCATACCCTAAATTAAGGCTGTTCAACTTCTAAGTGGCCACAGCCTGCATTTCCTGTGGGCTGTATTAGTAGGGCTCACTGGCCCCTAGACTACATGCTGCATGGACCCCCACCATCCCTTTGCAGGATGTGCCTGCATGGATCCTCTCCTTTCCAGTGCAGCAACCCCATATGGGTACTGTGTGGCTCTAGTGTCACCCAGAACTTACTACACTGGGACACGCTGCACCACACTACTCCCGGAGGCAGGCACAGAACAGAATCCAGAGGAAGAAGTGGGGTCTGGAGCAATAGGGGAAATGGTAGCCAGGCAGGAGCCTGGCACCACAACTTAACCCCTTGTGGCCCCCGTGGGCTGCCAGTTGAAGAGACCTGCCCTAAATCTTCAAAATTAGGTTCTTGCAGCATGTTATGATATGGCCAAATATCTACCAACTCCTTTTATAAGCAATTTAATTAAAGGTTTCTAAATCAAGTAACAACCTTAAATTCCATATGCATTAAAAAATAAAATGGTATATACACAAATCCTTGTTTTAAAGCTTGGGGCATAAAAATGTCCACAAAATCAAATTCAGCATAAAATCAACAGTTGACACACAAACAAGTTTTAAGTATTTGGGAGATCAGCACTCACAATGAAAGAGCAAATTTTCATTTCTGAATAAAACATGCCATGCATATCAATTGAGTTGTTATTAACTGGATGTCCTGATTCGTGTCAGTATGTAACATAGTATTTAGAGAAACTTTTTGATTTCTCTCACCTGTATAGCAACATGAATTTCACTTTGGGACTCATTTAACTTACAAAGTTAGTGGAAGTTTTTTTTTACTGATGTAAGAATTGCATCATGGTCCTTGTAGCTGAGATATTCTGTGCCCTATTTTTCCTAGTGGAGTTGAAGGTTGTGCATGGTGATAAAATGTTTCCTGGGATGCTGTGTCTGTTAATTGATTCAGGAGCTAATGCTTCTATCTTGGGTATAGCAGCTTCAGGTAATTAATTTCTGAGAAGGGATTCCATTAACATCTTGACAACACCTATGATACTAAAAGGCCTAATAAATAACGTATGCATATGTTTTTGGAAATTTAGTTGGGGCACAAATGAATTATGCTGACAGCAACTAAAGGAAAATACTCTTTTTTACCTTTTGTGCCAAAGATTTACTTTAATAACTGATGTTAAATAACTGTCCATTGGATTTTTATAATACATTTTCCCCTCTGGTTGCCCCTATTGTTTTTAATTATTTGCTATTTCAGTCTCAATGGGTGTGTCTACATGTGCTGATTTAAGGTGCTTTACCCATTTTTCAGGCGCATTAAGGGCGTGGCCTTCCACATGCGAAGAACCCTTAAAGAGCCTTAAAAATGGCAAGTTTAGGCTATTCGCACCTAAATTTGATACCTGCAAAAGCTTTTGTCCCAAGTCGGTCCACACACTGTGTTAATGCACCTTAGCACACGAACATGTAGACGCACGCCTAAATTGCCTTAATGTGCATTAGGCAAATGTGCATTAAGTTTTGTCATGTGTAAAAGCAAGTCTAGACATGCCCAAGAAGTAGAAGATACTGACTAGACCTAGACATGCAAGATAGGCTGAACTGGTTACTATCTACAGATACCTCAAGCTCTACTTAGATTTCTGGAAAAGAGAAATCTAGGAATGGAAAAAGCAAAGGATTTTAGGTGAGCTCGAGTTTGCAGTTTTTATAAGGTAGATAAGTCTGCAGGGGTGAGCACAAAAAAATTGTACTAACATATCACTGCTGGAGCATACATGCGTTCAAGCACCTCGCTGGAGAACTTCACAAGAGAGCTCTCCAGCCAGGGGAACTCATTAATTGACAGCTTGCTTGGGAAGTTGGCAACTGATTGGCAAGAGAAGGTGCCATTCTCCCACTGGGGCAACCTAATAAGTCTCCTTGCAACAGAATTCCACCCTCATACCAGTGGTGGAAATGGGGGAATTTTTCAGGGCAGGGTCACCACAAAGCTTCTTGGCTGTTCAGCTCTACATAGGCTATCAGGGAGCCAGTGCTTTCCCTCCCTGTCCCTGGCAGAGCAGAGGATGGGAATGTTGAGTTCCTCCACATCCAAAAGAAGTCTACAGCCTTTCAAGTTGGATAAGAAGGAAGATCTTCCTTGCAGGTATCCTCTCTAACTTCTTGCAGACGAGGTTGTTCATTGCTGGGAGAAAGACACTGGCCATGAACAGACATTACATTAGTCTGAGAAGAACTGGAGTGTGCCCTTGAAGCCATTCCAAGGTGATTAATTTCTGGGATTTGGCATGTATAAAGGCAGGCGGGAGTGGGATGTTTCATGACTACTCCCAGAATCACCAAGGAGGTGGTGTATGCAGATCTTAAGTGACTTTAAACCAGCTATACACATGGATGCCAGTCAGCAGTGAGCACGTGCGCACATATACACACATTTTACTGTTCTCATCTGGTTTCAGAGCTCCTTTAAATTTTTCTGTTTATATATGTCCTGGGTTCTTTTCCAGGTTATTACGTTTGCCGCTTTTAAGACATTTCTCAGCTGCTTTTTGAAGGACATTTATGAATCATAAACGTGACAAAACTCCTGTTGCACTCACAGCAGGGAGTTTAAGTCAAGTTTTGCCCCAATTCAGGTACATAACTTC